ACACCATACAACTTAGCTGCTACTTTAAAGTGTTTGAGAATTACTTTCCTGCTTAAACAAGACTTTACATTCAAATCTAGTGTATGTTTCTACTTAATATGTTACTCAGAATAAGTATGATATATCGTACTAAATCAACTTAAAACCTGTTGGACATTTCAGTAATTCTAGATGGCCTTGGTACTTACCACCATGATACCCAAAACTATTCTGTAGTACTTTGGAGTTGCTGTCATCACTCAGTGTTTATGCACAGATTGGTTTTTGGAGTAACACAAATAATCAAACAGTAAAATAATGGTTGAATCAAGAGTTTGAATTACACTGCATTGCCACTGTAATCATTTAATGATATATTTACTAGGATTAGGTTTGTTCTTGGTTCTTGAAACAAAATAAATCACTTGAATAGACATTACATTTCTATACCCAGAAGGGAAAAAATCATTAATGAACTTTTTAAGTTGGCTTGATTAAACCATTTCAGTGAAATCTCAATTTTGGTGCTCAGGTGTTGCTATCCTGGGTGGTGCCAATATTTGTGGAGGCTTGACTTTTTTTGTTTATTTGTTTGTTTTGTTCTCGATATGGAAAATGAAACTCAGATCTGCATACAGAATAGCACAGCATTAGAATAACTTTGTCTATAATGTTACATTCATATACTGAAAAAATCCTAATATAAGCTCTTCCAGAAGTGCCCCCACAAAGTACCCTTTAAAATCACCTTGGGCCTGCCCCCAGCAGTGTCCACACCACTGGCATCTATGTGGTAACTGGACCTTAATTGGACATGTTTGAACTTGCAGCTGAGATTGTACATTTCATAACTAAACTAAGTATTTTATAACTGGAATTCTGGGCAGACATCATTAATCAACTCAAAAACTCCAAAGCAGCTGAACTGGACTTTTGAGCTGCATTTGTGAGAGGTTTTTTTTTGTTATCTCTTACACAGCCTGATTTCTGTCCCTCTGTGTGTGAGGCAGGTCGTGTGCACAGAGGTGAACCTTTCCCCCCCTCAAAGCTCTGTTAATTTGACCGATTTGATTCAGTCGGTCAGAGCTGGGAAGAGTTTGATTAAATCTGGCCAGGTCACGGTCTGGGGTGAAAGCAATTACTTTACAAAAAAATAGAATAATACGAAAAGGGGCATCCGCCTTTCTTCCACGCCAAGCTCTCTGCCACTCTTTGTCCCTTTTATACCCCTGTAAATGATCCCTCTCTGCCGTTGGAGAGACTGGAGCTTTAAGGGAGAGCTGATCAAGGTCATCATCAAGAGCAGGGCTGAGAATGGAGCCTAAACTAACTGGCTCTGTTTCACTACTGTTATATAGTACCACAGGCCTGACCATCACTCAGGACTCATACAGTGTTTCTTTATATCCTCTGTCAGCCTGTCATCATACTTAAAGCCTGACTCAGTCCATTACCACACCTTCCTACCTCACTTCTAAATCAGAATCAGAATCGTTTATTGAGCACATGGTGGCAGAAATAGCAACAGAACACTCTAAAGGAACACTGCAGTATTTTTCACCCCATCTCTATCTGCTGTATGTAAACTTGTGGGGATAGACCTGATCTCGAAACACGAATTCACATCTGGGGACAACTTGTTAAACTTTTGGTTGGTATAGTCTAGTGGGTAACACCTCTGCCTCCTACGCTGTAGACTAGAGTTCAGTCCCCTAACTGGGCAAGCACCCTAGACTATAGCAGAGTGCCCAATCCTGGTCCTGAAGATCTACCACTCTGTAGACTTCAGATCCAACATATCTGGCTCTAATACTCAGATGCCCCTGAAGGCCTTCATTACCTGGATCAGGTGTGTTTGATTAGGGCTGGAGCTAAACTGTGCAGGGTGGTAGATCTCCAGGACCAGGACTGGGGAAATCCACACTTTACCAATAAGTGTCCTTGGGCAAGACTCCTAACACTACCTTCGCCTACCTGTGTAAATTGATCAAATTGCAAGTTGCTCTGGATAAAATGCTGTAAATGAGTTGGGTTGCCGCAAAAAACACCTCAAACAAGATTACGCCCCCTCTTAAACCAGCCCCCGAATTACTCTACTGCAGTGTTATTTTAATGTTCGGAGTACAGGTGATAATACAAACAAAACAAGCTAGCTCATGAGCTCATGGAACCGGTAATGTGTAGTAAACATTTTGATCTGCCCTTTAGGAGATGTTTGAATCCAATGAACATCAACAAAAAATACCCAGTTCCATGGAAAAGATCAATTAACAAACAGATTTTATTTAAACATGTAAATGAAGGACAGAATTAAAATGATGACCAAGACAAGACCCAACTTGAGTACTACAACATGAGCAATTACATAAAAGAAAATATACAGTTACAGCTATCAAATTACACTAAAACTGAAGTTGATGCACACATGTATTTACATAAGCTGTACTGCTGTAATCCATCTGTAACAGTGAATACATCACCAGTAGTTACATTGTTCTTTCATGTATTGTTAATCTGTAACTACACAGCTATTAGTAACACAATAATAAATATTTTAATAAATAATAATAATGCTTATGCTACATGCTTATTTTTTTTTTTGGGGGGAGGGCGCTTTTCAGCCATGATAACTTACATTAATGGGCTATCGACATTTTCTCTGCATATTTCTTTTTTTTTTTTAATTCCTGTAATATATAAAAGTGTTTAAATAATATAATAAAGGCACAGTACAGTACAGGTTTATATCTGTCTCCTTAGTTTAGGGAAGTAAAGGAACGTGCACTGCTTTTATTTTCCCCGAATTATGGTCGCCGTGGTGATTATTATTATTTTGCGAAAGAGCAAAGGTATGTGGAGCTGATTGAGCGGAGTGGATGTTTAATTAAGTCGATGACTGCTTTAATTGAAGGCTTAAATGGCTTTGCTTATGAATATGATCCTTTATATTCCGTCGAGTTTTATGTAGATGAACACATTATTTTAATGGCCTCGCACGTTTTACAGGGCGAAGGAGAGAGGACGGCGTAGAGGGAAGTCTGAGGGAGGGATGGGGGTGAGGGAGGACACCCCTGCCAACCCCTTTAAGTTCGTACACAAGCCAGATGGCTGTCTTTTCTTGCATGAGATTAAAAGATGTTTCTAATTCACAGCGTTGAATCCTGGGCAAATGGATATCACAGGGCTCAATCATGTCTGTTCTAAAAGAGCCACAGCAGGGAGAGAGAGAGAGAGAGAGAGAGAGAGAGAGAGAGAGAGAGAGAGAGAGAATAGGTGAGAGAGATGCTGCAGATTTGTTTCTGAGGTACACAGGCTTGTGCTGGAGACGTTCCTGGAAAGCGGTCGATGTTAATTGACTGCTCGGGGAGGCAAAAACTATAATGGCTCATTATTAGGCGTGAACAGAGATGTGAGCGAGAGAGGTGATTGCAATAATTACAGACACGATAAAAAGACATTAATTAACCAAAAGAACAATGGTGAAAAAATTAGCAGCATAATGTTTGTCAATGATTGTCTTTTCGTTAGTTCATTAGCTTATGCATATGAGAACACAAGCAAAGGAGCAAAACAGCTTCAACCAGGGAGCAAAATTCAACCTCAATAATTCAGGCATTCATAAAATATTTTCTTCTTTCTAATGCTTTCATTTAATCATGAGGTCGCAATTAAAGCCATACGGTGTCATTTATCACCTCGTGGTAAAATATGCCTTGTGTTTTTTTGGGATCTGATGGCATTTTGTTCCTTCCTCTCCTGCATTCCTGTAGCAGGTGACTGGTGAGTATGCAAACACGGGCATGTGCTTTGTCCATGCTATGCCAATGTGGGCTTTGCAGTGATGAAGATGATGCTGTGACCTCTGGGTTTGTGTGTTACATTAAGATACATCATGTTTGTGCACACTGCACGTAGATATTAGCTCTGACTGAGGTGCATTTATTTATTTATTTATTTATTTACAGACCCGATTCTAAAGTTGATAAGTAGGTAAAATGCAAATATAAACAGAAAGCAGTTTGCAAATACTTTTTGATCCATATTCAGTTAAAAACAGTACAAAGACAAGATATTTAATGTTTCAACTAATTAACTTTATTGTTTTTCACATATATGCTTATTCTAAATTTAATACCTGCAACACAGTCCACAAAAAGTTGGGACAGGAGCATGTTTACCTTTGTATTACATTACGTTTTCTTTTAACATATGAATGTTATTACCACTTTAATTTTGACAGACCTAGTACATACATTATAGGCTGGACTACAGAACTTAGAAAGTGATAAGTAGTCCATAAACACGTTGACCCTAAAAGTCACCTGCTCATCCACTGTTTCTTCTGAAATCAAGGGTGTTAATAGTGAGTTTGTGGCCCTTTGCTGCAGCAACAGCCTCTAATTCTTCTGGGAAGACTTTACACTTGATCTTGGAACATTGCTGAGAGGATTTGATTGCTTTCAGCCACCAGAGCATTAATGAGGTCGGGTACTGATGTTGGATGATCAGTTCCGGATCACTCCATCTCATCCTAAATGTACTGGATGGAGCTCCATCACTCCAGAGAACACAGTTCAACTGCTCCATAGCCCAATGCTGGGGGGCTTTATAGCCCTCTAGCTGCTGCTCAGCATTGAGCATGGTGACCTCAGGTTCATGTGCTGCTGCTCCAGAGCATCTAATTCTATTGGTAATGCTTTATGGGCGGTGAGTGGCTGAATTCACTAATTAGAGTGTCTGGCATTTCCACAGACATAACAACCAAAACTCTTTCCTAAAAATCAACAAGTACATTTGTTTTGTCTGGCTAGACTGTGACTGCACACTGAAATTGACCCGATGAGAACATCATTTCCACATGAATAAAAAAAAAAAATACATCAGCAAACTTTAGTCTTTCAGTTTAGTCTTTTAGTTTGGCAATAACTGTGTATTTTATTACTGTGGAAATTATTATTATTATTATTATTATTGTACTTAATGCTGTTTCTCTCTCTTTCTCTCTCTTTTTATTTATTCAGATGGAACGTGCTTGGCCTGCAGGGGGCGCTGCTTAGTCACTTTGTGGAGCCAGTGTATCTGACCAGTCTGACGGTGGGCAGTTTGAGACACACCGGTCACCTCTCCAGAACACTCAACCAGAGGCTGGAGAGACTGGGGCCACTTCCGTCCTGCTACCGCCGCAACCAGCCGCTCCTCAGCAGTAAGGGCAGCTTCACATACTTTCTCTTTTTAATTAGGCCTGAAACCTGGGTCACAACCTGAATAGAGCCTGACAACTTCCTATCTGAGTCCAAGTTTGTCCCAAGCCTAACAAATCATCATTCAAAGTGTCGAATAAAACCTTACGTTGTTAATGATAACACCAGGTAGATTACCATGAGATAATAACCACTATTAGATAATAAATAAATAAAAATATGTATGTATTGATTTAATAAAACAATAATCAAATTAATTTCAAATCCTTCAAACAGCTCAAACATCTTTAATCTGGCTAAACTTTCCATGCTGTGCTGTTTCTGTGCCATGTTGACACAGGCTTATGTTGGCTTTCACCTAAACAGGCCTAAGACCTTTTCCATATATAGAACGTTACATAATACTGTACAAATTATTCCTTTTTCAGCATCAGGAAAGAAAGAAGGAAACATATACTTAACAGTAAATTATACAGAAGCTTCAGCACCTAAATATAATATTTTTTCAGTATTGAGTTTGTCCACCCTTTACCTTTATTACAGCTTGTTGTACTTTTAGGAGACTCACTTTCAGTTTTTTTTAAAAATCAGTGGGAATATTTTTCACACCTCCAAAGTTCAGTCTTAGAAGCTGGTTCAGCATTTTCTGCTTCTCATGATCTAAGTAATCCAAACGCATTCAGTGATATTGACTGTGGACTCTGGGGTGTCTATTGTCTATTGTTCTGAGAACACCAGCAGCTTCTGGGTTTTATTTGCGGTTCTTCTTTTTTCCTTTTCTCAGTAACAGCTTCTCAACAGCTACGCATCCTTTCAGACCCATAGCGCTGAGTCGTCTTCTCACAGTGGAAGGATGGACAGAAACACCTGTTGATTTTTTCAGATCTGAAGCAGCTTGATTTTCTCCTCTCTCTCAAAGATGAAAACACTGAACTACACTAAACTCTACTCAGTTGATTATTATCTTAGTTTGTGAGTTCAGACCATGCCTTCAACATGGTGGTAGTATGAGAGAAGACAGTTTTGAGGGAAGTGGGGAGAGCTCTGAGAACATGGGCTGGCGTTTTGGGCAGCTTCTGCCGATTGCTAGAAGGCCAGACCCCCCTCATGGCTGTAGCAGGACTGATGTAGAGCTGAGGAACAGGGGGCATGCGGGAGATTAAAACTGTTTTAAGGTAATGAAAATAGGAAGAAGAATATGAGTAAAGAGAAAACCTGCAGCAGGGGGATAATGCAGGGTACAAGACATTATGAGAGGAAGGCGGGCTCTGAGAAGCTGAAGGTGAGACGTGAACCCGACCCCAGGCCGACACACATTTGAAATGATATTTCAAGATCTACTCTCTCTCTCTCCATCTTCTCTCTCTGCGACACACGTCAAATTGTATCCCCTGAGGGTCCCCTGCTCTAATAATACCTGAATCAACTCATCAGCTGATGCCTGAGATGAATTAGCTGTGTTAGAACAGGGGAAACACTAGAGCCGGCAGTGCTGTGGTCTGCGAGTGTGTTTTGACACCAGTTCTCTAACATGTGCAGGAAAGCTCAGGCGCACAGGTGATAGTTCCTGAGTTGTGTGACTGTGAGAGACAAGTGTTGAACACATGAAGGTGAAGTTGATACAGATTTATTGAATTAGGCTCCATTTACACCAGCCTTTAACATGGTGATCCAAACATAAGTCGTTAAGTTCAGGTGTGAACTGGATCTAATGTGTTTTAGATCAGATCACTTTAGGGATGCATATGCCAAATAACATTTGTAGTGCGAATACTGAAGGGTCCCAGTGTGTCCTCGAGAGCAACGAAGGACTGTCTAATCAACTGTATCTTCAAAGCAGACGCAGAAGCCCCTGCCGAGATTCTTTCTTAATCTTCTCTCCTTTTATCCCTGTTTATAAGCTGTGTTAGCAATCCATAGGATATAAACATTTATAACAGCTCGTACATTGAGTGTGGTAAATATGAGTGGCACCCACCTTAAAATTCCAATCATAATGAACACACATTCGAGACGCATGGAAATGGCAGATAAAAACAGCTTTTCTCACTGTCCACTTGTGATCAGATCACTCTAGATGAATGTTAATTCCAGGTGTGAACAGGGCCTTAACAGTTCAACAGGATGGAAACTGTACATCAAAATGATTTGATTCAATTTTTTTAATTATAATTACTCAACGTATCATGACATCTCACGATTCACCAAGATTCAGTTTGATTTGGCTGCATTTTTTCGGTATGATTCAGGTGATTTATTATTGGTCTTTAAATGGACTGAATACGCAAGTGTGATGTTTGTTTGTTTTTTGCATACAGTTGTAAGACCTTTGGTCAAATAAAAACATTTGTTGAGTTTCTAAGTGAAAAAAAGTTCATCCTCCACAGGGAACGAACTTAAATATGGCATTTTTCTTCTCATTTTAATGCACAGTTTCAATTTATGTGCTGAATTTACACATAACATATAAAATGTGGCATAACTTTGGCACATTTGAAGTTTTCTGTTCTTTCAATGTGTTAATTTCAGTAAATAAGCACTAATTGTGTATTTAAATGTGCAGAAGTGTGTTCTCTTTCGAGGATGTGTTAACTTATTCTGACTTTGACTAAATATACAAAGACTAATTAGGATAAAGGATTTCAGCACCTTGGCCAGCTCCCAGCAGCTCTGGGTGACCTATTCAGTTGTTAATCTTAAGGCTCTCCATTGACTACTATAAATGATTTAGCAAGTACTATCTAAGGTATTCATGTGCAAAAGTGTGAGCACCCCCAGTCCAAGTACAATTTGTTGATGTTGTAACACATTCTTTACTGGGAATAAAATAGAAGGTGGCATTTTTCTGCTACTTTTAGTGCACAATTTCTATTTATTTGCTGAGTTTAACATAATGGAAACAAGAAAACAGAAACTTAAAAGGTGCCATAACTTTTGCACAAGCCACATTTGATCTTTTCATTTTTCCCCAAAGTGTTAAAATCCAGAAGTGTGTTCTCTGTAGAGGATGTGTAACTTATTCTCACTTAGAAAATCAACAGAACCTGCAATTTGACTGAACTATTTTATACAACTGTATGTAGGTATAAGAGTGAAGAATGGAAGATTGGACCCACTGATTGGACCCAAAGAGTTTAAAGAGTTAACCTCCAAAATATCAGACTCTTGCTCTGGTTATTAAAGTCTTAAAGCACAAGTGAAGTATTGCTGATCCAGCAAAGAGGCCCTACTGATGAGGAACAGTCTTGGTAGTTAAGCACGTAGTTTATTAACAAGAACCTTGACAAATGTGATAAATTGCATTACATGGTTTGGTAAGTACAATTCTGTGAAAGTGTCTGTTTCAGTGTTTGGAAACTGGCCACACCATTACAGCCGTTCCTGAGTAGCGCTCAAAGAACGTACGAGTCTGTATTCAGTGCCAGATTTCGTATTAGTGACAGCAAAGAGCTGAAGGTCTGTTTCTGTGTGAGAATGTGTTTACCCACAAGAACCTCCGCTAGAGGGAAGAACCGTGACCTTTACATAGCAAACAAGCAAAGAGCCAAGCACGCACATGCACACCCAAACACTCAGTGACCCACACCGCCCGACTCTGACTGCCCTCCAGTAGTCGTGACATAAAAAAAAGGGCAGAAAAACTGTCTTCACTCTCCTGCCTTCTTGCTCTCTGTGGCCTCCGCACTATTGGATCTGTCCTTCTTCCCCATAATCAATCTAATCACATGCCTTATCAGCTCCATTGTGGAGAGGAGGGTTCCGCCACGCGGCTGGTGGCCTGCGCACCTCTGCTGCAGCCTTTTCAGCGGGCTGTGATGAGCTCTTCCTCCATTGTGTGGGCTCTGTTGTTGGGGGGGAAATGGCTTGGTTATTTTAAGCCCCGCTGTCATAAAGAACAGAGGTCCCCAGGAGCGGCACGAGCTATTATCACTGAGGAGCAAAGCACTCCTTCCCTCAATCAATGAGGATGTCCTTCAAACACAGGTCACGCGTGCACTACAGAGCCTGCTTTTTAACACTTACAAGACTTATCTGCTTACAGTTAAAGCTGGATATAAACAGCCTTATAGCCTTAAATTTTGTCATTTACATTCATGGCATTTAGTAGACGCTCTTTTCCAGAGCAACGTGCAATTTGATCATTTTTACACAGCTAGGCAAAGGTAGCATTAGGAGTCTTGCCCAAGGACTCTTATCGGTATAACGTAGGGTGCTTGCCCAGACAGGGAATTGAGCTCCATTCTACAGTGTAGCAAGCAGAGGTGTTACTCACTACACTATACCGTCCACTGCTCTTATACTCTAATAATAAATAAAAGGTTCCTAATTGGTTCTGGTTCCTGTACAATCCCAGGAAGAACCTTAAATTGTTGGGCACACTTGCACGTCTCACTTACAATAATGGTTCTGTACAGAAGATCCATTGCTTTGAAAGTGGGTTCTTCGATGGCATCACATCAAAAAACCTTTTATGGCACCTTTTATTTTTTTATTAGAGATATTACTGTTGTTCTGCTGTACTATTTACAAGTAATGGTGTCACTTTTGTTGTACTATTTAACAATTACTTGATGTCACGCCTCCTGCTGGCTTAGCAGAGACTAACACGCCGCACTTCTTTCAGAACGCTAACTCCCAGAATCATCTGGGGGAATCACATGACCACAGACTCTCAACCTATCCACGTTCTCATTCACCTGATGATTGATTGTTGACACCTGTTCTAGTGCCTATATAACCTGTTTGTGTCTGTAGCCTTATTGCAAAGTGTTGTTTCAGTCTACTGCGTATCACCAAGCCTTTATTTCTGTGTTTGACATCCCGGTTTGTTTTCTTGCTTGTTTTCTCGTTCTCAGTTCCAGCCTGACCCCTTTTTGACTTGTTTGTGTAGTGACCTCTAGCTTGTGTTCTCTCAGTCTGGTTTAGCTTAGCCTGCATTTCCCCGTTTGCCCGTTTATGGACCCTTGCCTGTTTTTGTGCTATGATTAGCCCTTATTAATTTTATTTTAACCACAGCCTGCACTGTGAGCGTCTGACTCTTTCAAAGCCGCCACAATTGAATACATAGTTATGTAATGAATTACATTCAATAAATCAGCACAATATAGAAAGTTTAACTTTGGGATTTCTATTTGAAAGCATTGCATTATGAATACATTTGTTAAAACAGAATATAGACTTAATTTTGGACAGCTGATTATTTTATTCTTTGTTTTACTTTATATTACGTTTTATTTTATGTATTTATGATGTATTGGCTGCTATTAATGTTTAACCCAGTGCTTCCTTAACAGGTTTTATTCAGCACCAGAGGTGGGTAGCAACTAGTCAGACTTACCCAAATACATGTACCTGAGTAAAACATTGATAAATTTGTACTCTCCTGCGTATTTTTATATTATAATACTTTTACTTATGCACAAGTATATTAGTGAGTAAAGGAAACTACGTTTTTCTCAGTTACATTTTAGCCATTCATATTTAGATACTTCCTTTTTTGTGTTTAATTTCAGTATTTGGTGATGTAACATTGGGAGAGACAAAAAGGAAAGATGTATGTGCAAGTCCTTGGAATTATTAACAAAACACAATTATTGAAAACAATAGAGTACATTAGCTGCAGATCACTGTTAAACCTCTTTAAACGTCCCCAGTGTACTGTAGGTTTTTTAAAACTGCCCATTCACTTGAACTAGACACCTGGCATCCTCTGCTCTGTCCCATAGATCATTGTTGGGGAGGGGATGGGAGCGCACATTATATTGCAGTGCATGCTGGGAACTGTAGTACAGCTCATGGTGAAATAGGAAAATATTAATAGAAAATGAAAATAATCTTGCGGGCGGAATAGGATCGTGTCCATGGGCCTTGTGTTTGACACATATGCTGTAGAGGATTTATTCACTTATTTTCACTTAGAAAATCAACAAAACGTGAGAGGTGTTCAAACTGTTGCATACAATTGAAGCTAGCATGCTGTTTTTAGCGCTGTTGAATTCAGGCGAGAGGCACTTTGTTTGTTAAAAATGATGAAAACTTACGTGGCATCATGGCCAAATTGAAGGGCAGGAATGGCTTAAAGGCCATGAAATTTATCCTGCAGTTATGGCACAGAAACAAATGATTACAGTGGGAAAACTGCCGGTTGCGGCGACGTAAGAGGCACGAGACGATCTGCCTTGTGCAAAGACGTGCATTGTGAGGAAAACGCACTCAATTAAAGCTGAAATAACTGTTAGTGGAGATAGTCTCCATAAAGGGCAAGTCACAGAACAATGTCTGGCGCAGGAATTGATCAAGATTTTCATGGAAGAAAAAAATTAAATGGTCTATTAGAGAGATATAGGAGCGGAGTCAATGAGGGATGTAAAATGAGGCATGAATGGACAGAAAGAAAGAAGGAGAGGCAGAGAGAGAGAGAGAGAGAGACAGAAAGAGAAAGACAGAGACAACAGAAAGAGAGAGAGAGAGAGAGAGCAAGAGAGAGAGTCTATTACCGCATAGAAAAGCAATAAGAGACAGGATCATTGTCATGGTGGCAGGCAATTCATTCCACCTGTTCGAGGAGGCATAGAAAAAGAGAGAATTGAGACTCGCGCATGCAAGGCGCAGGCTAGGTGGGGGATTATTCCACAGCTAGCAAAGCAGCTCGATCTGTTTGCCAACACTCAGAGCTGGTTTCATCATGTGCTTCGTTCTCGATCTGTTTACTTTCTGACTCAAATACATGCTTGAAAAGATGCTCTGGGTTTAGAGTGTCAAATATTTGATAAAAAGCTTTAGTTCAGACATACAGCACATTTATGTGCAAGTGTCTTTTCAGCTGTCAAACAGCCAGACGCTACATCTACACTGTGGTTTTATTTCTCAGACAGACGTTGCACTTTTCATTATAAACGATAGAAATAAAAAGACCCGTATCCCGCAGAACGTCTCCGTCAATGTAACAGCCTCGCTCCTGCTTTGAGCCTTTCTGTGTGTTTCAGCACGGCGCAGATCTCATGGCACTACATGTGTCACTGCTGTCTGTTAGCAGGGTGCTAACGTGTTGTCAACCTGTGCAGTGTCCTCAGCTCTAAGTGCTCAGATGGAGTGCTAGGCTAATTGGCGGAGCAAAGAGGTGCTGATTGAGGAGTCTGAGAGAGCTTTTGTGTCTGCGGCTGGTGTTTACCATGAAGATAGCGCCGACGCGCTTACGCCACTAATGAAACGCTCAAGCACTCACATGCAATTAAGCAGGCTAGAGTGACCTGCCTCTCTCTGCTATACCACTCTAATGCTCTCTCTCTTCTCAAAGTGGTCTGCCTCTCTCTTGATCATATACGCGTTCTCTCAGGCTCTCATTCGTTAGCATATGCGACTGGCGTTCTTGGGAAAGATGAGCAAAAACAGACTATGAAGAAATGACTTTAGTGACACTTTATTTGGATGGCTGCCCAAAACTTTCTGGTGATACTTGATTATCAACAACATTAAGGTTAGGTTTAGGAGTAGGTGTAGGTTTTGCACTGAGGTTAGAGTTAGGTTTAGGGTTAGGGACAGATTTAATAGAACCTTTCACACACTTCAAGTTTGGTTGCATTTAATAGGTATTTAATTAAAGGTAGACTAGGTATCTACAAAGCATCTACAGTGGACCATCTAAATAAAGTGTTACCATGACTTTGTTGTTAATCAGCTTAAGCACATGCTAATCTTTAGGAGTTCTTAAAGAACAAAAAAAAACAACAACCACATATGCCTGGAACAAAACATCACTTAGACTTGTTATGGAATTGAAAATTCAGAAAAAAAAGATCTTTTAGGAAAAACACAGAGATGGGTTTGGTGTAAAAAGAGTGGAGGTCGTACAGAAAAGAACCTAGTGCCTGTGGAGAAGTATGGTGGTGGGTTTGTGATGTTGGGGAAGTGTTTTCTTCTGGAGGCCCTGGAAATCTTGTTAAGGTATATAAGTATCATAGACTCCTTCAAATTAAAATCTAAATTTTAGATCCAGTAGAATCCAGGATACATCCAAATTCACAAAACAGTGGGTTAAAGTGGCCATTCCAGTCCCCTGACCTAAACCCAGAGTGGAACCCTCACGGCCTTCTAGGCCTAATGATTTCTCTGAAATAAAAAAAGGATATACGTGTCTGTAGATTTTTATATATTATAATGATCATGATTGCTGTATTTAAACTCTGCAAGTGCTATAATACTATAATAGTAAGTTTTGGTAAATTCTTGAAATACTCAACAGAAAATTATCCAGCCAGGATTTTTTCCATGCAATATCTAGGTAGACACAACCAAGCGAGTTCTCCCATTAGAAGGCCTAATGTATCTGATTAACCACCACCATAATTATAAACTGACAGTGGACTCAACCAATCGTGTTTTGATTCTTAATGGGTGGGACTAGTTTTGACTTGTTAGTGAACCCCATTTGGGCGCTGAGGCTTTTTTCATCGTTTTTTGACCACGTTTTGATGTTTATGGCCTGAAGTACAGACCTGGATCTAATAGTCTTGGTTTCTCACTGCCTAAGCCCACTGAAAACCTGTGGGGTGAGCTGAAGAGGAGAGGCTTCAAGGTATAGACCAAGGATTTTAAAGAATCTGGAGAGAGTTTGTAAAACACTGTGGTCTCAGATTGTGTTTTCCTAATATATCCAGCATTATAATATAAGACTGAGTGCAGTTGGCAACAGGAATATTTTTAAGTCAGTAATTTGCTTCACTGAAAGGTCAGATTACTCCCACATTTGCAGTGAACAACAAAGACATTTTATAGCCTTTTTGCTATATTTGTCCAAGAGTTTTGATCATCCTGGGGGGCACTGTACTCCTCTCACTGTCCCTTGTTTGTTTTCATTATCTTTCTCCAAGAGCACTCTGAAAACCAGACCGTTTGGCATCACTTGACTGTTTCTGTGGTTAAAGTTGTTGATTCTTATGGAAAATAATGAAAAGTCATTAGGTTATGCATGTAATTGCACCTTGAGTTCTTCAGGATCTGGCTGAATTGTGTATGCATGACCATGTTTTACGTCTAGGAGTAAGTGAGCATACACACATGACTGCTACCCACACACAATATTAGTGTATTTAAAGAACAGCAGACTTACGGTAGCTGTTTGCTTCTTGTTGTGTTCTGCAGGTCTTAGCAGCAGTGAGTGGTGGCAGCAGGCGAAGGCTCCATGCTACAGCGTAAACTGGACCGCAGGAGACGACCAGCTGGAGGTGATCAATGCGTCCACAGGGAAACGAAGAGATTGCGGAGCACCGTCTCGACTCTGCAAACATGCACTGTTCACGCGGTGGACCAGACTCTACCGCAAGGTGAGAACTGCTCCTTCTCCAGGAACATCTGGTGACACACCTGAGAAGGTGTGCGCTAGTCCTGTCTGCTCCATTCCTAGGATCCAGACAGATCTTTAGTCCCTTTTTTATTTCCCTGAATTTGTTTTTCATTACAGAAGGACCCTCAAAACCTCAGGTGCTTATAAAATAGAAAAGAAGGATCCTCAGAAGACTTGAGAGTGCTTCACTTTCGCCCTCCAGTGAGAGTATCTCACTCTCAAGTAGTTCTCATTAACAGAGAAGACAGAACACCCTGCATGGCACTGGCTGTTCTTGTAGCGGGTGTGAAAAAATGCTAATGTAACAGTGTCGGTAACAGACAGTAAGCAGGATTGTCCTTTTGTTTGGGTTGACGAGATAATAAGAGAGACACGTAGGAGAGACTAAACCCACACAGACATGGACATAAATAAGCAGCACATCTAACCTAATCTAAATTGCAGACTCGCCTCAAACTTCCCTTGTGAAAATGCGATATGATCTCCAGTAGACCTGCTCGGATACTGAAAGACATATAGGTATCTATATAATTGAAATGTCAGGTTGGTAAAAAGAGTTGTAGCAGTATAATGAAGCCTAAATTTCCCCCGTACTTTTGTTGAGTTTCATAGATAATGGTATGTCGTGCAGAATCAGAAAACACATAAGCAAGTCTATACGAGGTTATTTAGAGGCCTCAGTGTTATGTCATGTTGTGTAGGGCAGCATTGCATCCCTCAGCCTCATGAGTTTGGCAGAATTCACAATTTTTTAATCCTTAATCCTCATACACTTTTGTTTTCTTACTACAATACCCAGCATGCATTACTCAACACATCAACCCACTGGAAATCTACAGTGATAAAGAAATCCACATGATATTCTGCTTCCTAGCAATAATGCTAGCTGTATGCTTTCCTTCCACAATAACCAGCTAGTGGGAAAAAAACACATTTCAAACTATGTGCCCCCCCAAAATCCACTCCAAAGCAGTTGTAGTTTTTTTAAAAGTACTTCCCACCTTCAAGATACACAGTAATGGCCAAATGTATGTGGACAGTGTGAGTTACAGTGTTTTAGCAACACCTATTGCTAAAAGGTGTGTAAAATCAAGCACATAGCCATGCAATCTCCAAAGACAAACATTGGCAAATGAATGGGTCATACTGAAGAGCCCACTGACTCTAAATGTGGTACCATCGGATGCCACCTTTGCCACAAGTCAGTTCATGAACATTCTGTCATCACCACTGGACTCAGGAGCAGTGGAAGTGTGTTCTCTGGAACGATGAATCACGCTTCACTATCTGGAAGTCTAATAAATGAATCTGGGTTTGTTGGAGGTCCAAAGAACAGTACCTACTGAAATGCATAGTGCCAACAGTAAAGTTTGGTAGAGGTGGAATAATAAGCTGGGGCTGTTTTTTTAGGATTTGGGCCCTTTAGTTCAAGTGTAATGTTGATGCTACAGCATACAAAGACATTTTAGACAATTATATGCTTCCAGATTTGTAACAACAGTTTGGATAAGGCCTTTTCCTGTTCCCGCATGACTGTGCCCCTGTGCACAAAGTGAGGTCTGTAAAGACATGAAGAGTCCAGAACCCAGACCTCAACCCCACATGTCGATTTTGAGCCGGACCTTCTCGTCCAACATCACTGCCTGACCTCACAAAGGCTTTTTGACTAATTGGGCACAAATACATACAGACACACTCTAAAATCTTGGGGAAAGCCTCCCCAGAAGAGCTGAGGCTGGTATAGCCACAAAGGGGGCCAACTCCATATCAATGCCCATGATTCTGGAAAGGGATGTCCAAGACGCTTGTATAGGTGTGAAGGTCAGGTGTCCACATACTTTTGCCCATATACTGTACATCATCAGCAGGGTTTTTTCCAGGCTTTAAACTGGAAAATGTCACTCTAGAGAGTATTGTGGCACTACTGCCACCACACAGGAGGTGACATAGCTATAATTGCATTTTTCATTTTGGCCACAATGTTCTTTTACTAACTTGATGGTGTTTGAATCAGGTAGGTGATGATTTAGGCGTGCAGTTAATTACAAGATGCTAATTGCTGGGGTATTACTTGTTAGTTACATTAGCCTCGTAGCCCTGGTGCAAAATGAAATATGCAATCTTCAGACACCAAGCTACACTTGTGCTGAGGGGAAACTACCAAACTATTCCGCTAACATCAAAATTGAGAAGTTTAGGCTTTTACTGTTTCTTAACTTCACCCGGAGTTTGAAGAAACTGTCTGAGTTTATCAAAAAAGTAGCACCAAGTTCTCATCGTAATGAGTTTCACTTTCCAAAAAAGAAAACAAGTAAAGCACAGTCATGGAAATGTATGGAGGAGCTCCGGCTGCTCTACCAAATGGCGGCAGTTAAAGTCTAATGACAGTAGTACTGGTAATCATCTCGAAAAGCACTTGAGCGGCCTCCCATGGCAAATGCTCCGTGAGCACAGTCAGAGACGCAAGAGCAGACACACTAATCTCCCAAAGAAACTTTACTTTTCTTCGCGCCTCTTCGTCTGCTGCAGTCCTTCTATCTCTCTCTCTTTGTGTGTGTGTGTGTGTGCGTGTGTGTATGAGCGCGCGACAAAAGAAATGCACAAAAGCTCAGAGAATGTTCAATTGCTTGTGAAATTTAAATGGGGAGATTACACAGCTGTTGAAGTTCCCTGTTTGTGCCGGCTCATTCGTTTTGTTTTGCTCTCTCACCCCCTTTTCCCTCTCTCTCTCTCTCTCTTTCTCTCTACTTCCACCTTCTCTCCTTCTTTCCCTTTCTTTCTCTCCATCTGCAGCTGGTAGTGTGTGCTCCGGGTTCGAGGGACGTGCCGTTGATGTACTGTGAGGCTAAGCAGGCGGCCGGCACCTATCAGACTGCGAAGGAGCAGTGGGTGCGGGCGCTGCAGGAGAACAGCTTGGGCACCTGGGTCAGGAAACCGCCGGAACAAGAGCAGTTTCTGCTGGCCGCGTGAGACCACAAGAGATCACGTGAGGCTGCACGAGACTGCTTGAGACCGCGTGAGACTCTTTGAAATCACGTGAGACTCCATACAACCACATGAGACCACGCGAGACTGCGTGAGATGACACAAGACTGCGAGAGACCAAACGAGGTCACGTGAGACTGCTGATCTCTTAACTTGCATTCTCAACCCAGCAGTCATGGCAGCCCACTGTCTCCCTTTGTGGCCCCTAACATGGCCCCTCTGCCAGAAACCCACAGGAGAAGACGGCGAGTCACTCTCCAAAACAGGATGCTCCTCGAACGGGAATGGCTCTCACCTCACACTCTCCTTCCAGCAGGGGTCACCATCATTGCCCCTGGAGATCCACCATCCTGTAGAATTGAGCTCCAGCCTTTATCCACCATGATTCCCATACAGTATAAGGGTGTAAATCTCTGACCTACCAGTGATTAGATTATGATTTATTAGGAAACGATTCAGTGCATCATGGAATCAGACCGAACTGAATCCCTGTTTGCATTGTAGGGCACTTGGACCGTTGGCCAACGCTGTAGATCATTACATCAGCTAAGCATATACCAAAGTGATGGAGACCAGGGGTGGCGCTACACCTCTACTGGTGGGGCATAATTGAAGTGCTAGTAGCAGACCTGGATCATCAGGTTATCAGCCCCGGGCACAAATATTTAGTGGCCACCTCTATTTTTTGATTCATAGGTATTTAAGACTGTTTAGTAAACTATTTATTACACCACTTTATAGCACAATGCTAATAAGGGAGTACGGATCCATTTTGGTTACAGATTCAGATGCACAAATATGAGTGCACTGCAAAAAATAGTATCTTGTAAAGTAAGATTATCTTAAATCTAGTCGATATATCCAATATTTCTCCTGATGTGATTGTTGTAAGCTTATTTTAAGATTATTGAATGTATTTCCAAACATTTATTAAGTAAAATTATCTCACTATACTGGCAGATAATTTTGCTTGTTTTAAGAAATGTGCTTGAAACCAGCAAAATTATCTGCCAGTATAGTGAGATAATTTTACTTAATAAAATGACCTAAAACAGGTAGAAAATGTCGAGAAATAAACCCAATAATCTTATAATAAGTGCACAACCATCTCAAAATGGGAAACTCGACTAGAATTAAGATAATTTCGCTTGACAAGATACTATTTTTTGCAGTGTGGAGGAATGATTTACCCCATTAACACAAAAAATAATGTGAAACTGAACTAAATCTAGTCAATATATTTAATATTTCATCATGATTTTGAGATTGTTGTCTCAAAAATTGCTGGTTTCAAGCATACTTCTTAGAATAAGCTACATTATCAATATAGTGAGATTTTCACTTGGTATAATCATTTAAAGCAAATAAAATGTCTAGAAATAGGCTAAATAATCTTCCAATAAGCTTATAACAATCTCAGAAATGAGAAATATAAAGTGTATCGACAAGATTTAAGATAAATTCACTTACCAAAACACCATTTTGTACAGTGCAATGAAAAACAGACAGTAAAAACAATACACCAAGTGTTTTCTTTGGACTGTTGTGACTGAACACGGCCTAAAATCTGTAGTTTGAGTATATCATCATCAATTCAACAGATTCGCTAATAGTCATCTTGAGATGGATATATTTTTACAGCAGTCTTCGCAAGTCTTTGCTTTTGCTGGATCAGGTGTGTGAGATTTTAGGGTCTGCAGGACGGTGGATCTCCAGGGTTGTGCTGGTGACCACGGCCTTACAGCGTCCCCGTGCTCTGCTCACCTGCAGCTGTCACGCCAGACTAAAAGTGTGCGAGCGTGTCTGTGTGGTAACCTTCGCCAAAGTGAAAGGCAGCAGCCATCTTGTCATCACTGGCCCGTTTCCGGATGGTCGGCCCCTGTAGAGTTCTCGCACACTGTCCAATTAAAGGCCCTGTCAGAATGATGCGCCCCCCTCCCCCCACACACACACACACACTACCTTCTCTCCCGCTCTCATACGTAAGCTTTCTTTCTCTCTCTCTCGCTCTCCCTCACAACCTCACTCTCTCTCTATAACGACTCAAAAAAAGGCGGGGGGTGGGGGGGCTTTGACATTGCAAAGACAGGTTAATTCAAGCCCTTTTTGTGTGCAGCGCGGGGAATATAAAGAGAGGAGTGGAGGTAATAGTGACAAGGTAACATAAATGGTGCCATTAAGGCACCCCGGGTCTCAGCAGAGCGCTCGGCGTGCAGGGCTGGTAAAACTCGCTGCTTTAATACCTCTCTCCCTCTTCTCTTCATAGGTGACACGTCGTTTTTCTGTTGCTTTCTTTTGTGTTCCTCTACTGTATATTTACAAAGGGCGCACAGCAGGAGCAATGACCCGTGTTAAGAAGGGAAAAAAGTGTCCCGGCTCGATTTTGAAAGAAAAGGGGGCTGGCGAGAAAATGGAGGGCTTTGAGCTGTAGCAGCTCTGAGATAGTTAAATAAGGCTGATTAGCTGGTTCATGGTTTAATTCACAGTCTCCCAACAGTGTTTCGTAATGGTCCTATTTAACCTGATAAAATACACAAAGTCAGCATGCTAATTCACTTTTTTTCAGCCACGGTTGTGGTGTTCCTCATTAGCGGGCACTGACCTCTTTGTGCACCTCCATGTGATGCTAGTTTAAAGGGGAATTCCACCAACTTTTCTGCAAAGTCATTTACAGTGGTTTGACGTGCAGTGCTCCATTGTAAAGAAACATACACAGTGGTGGTGATGGGAACCAGACATCTGAAGAGGTCTGAGTTTAATGCCCCTAAAAGCTCCTTTACAGAAGGTTATTATAGGCAGTGTTTACTGATGCCTATATATATATATATAATATATAATATATATATATATATATATATATATATATAGATAGATAGATAGATAGATAGTCGCTGTCCAAAGAAAAACATCTCCAAAATGGTACCTTTACAGGAGAAGGCAAAGTAAGTTAATGTAAAGAGATTTTATTCCTCTTATTTATATATTATAAATATAATTATATATATATTCCTCTTACATATATATATAGATAATTCTACCAAATTGGTTCACACTTTACTAAGTGACTAGCTTTTTAGCTAAACTAGCTAACACACACAGCTTTGAACAGCCGTACACATATAAAATCATAATAATTGCATTAAAACAAAAAAAGTTTTCTTAACTTTTTCTTAACTATTCTCAATGTTACAAGCTGATTTTCAGACTTTGGGACAAATTTACCTCAAAACAATGAGATCTAACTGCTCACTATGTGGCCATGAGGGACAGGGATGCAGCCTTACTTCCTGCTCTAAAATGCAGGGGCGTGGCTAAAATGAGGCTCCGCATAAGGACTAAAACTCTTTGTGTTTCGGTATTGACATGACAACAAGGGACAGCATTTTTTAAATAAAGTATTTTATTTCAAAATTAAACTCATGATAAATCTACATCTTTCAACATTAACAGAAAAAAAAACATTGAAAAAAAATGTATTATTTTCATAAGTGCAAATGTAGGGCTTAGGGTTTAGGACAGACACCTCCCAAAAGAAAATACCCTATAAATTATGCATTTATATATATTTAGCTTATTACCATCTCATTTAACGCCTTTAAATACATCATAGCATAGTCCTTGTCAATTTCTATGGTCTAAATACTTATTTTCTTTTAGTTTTATTAACTGTCTGGCGGCACTTTGTACTAATTCAGTAGAACGTTAACTCAGAAGACACATGTAGGTTCAGTCTGGATGGTAAATAAAACGGCTATATTTGCACTGTAGACATGGTGACCCTGGTTCTTATCACCACCACTGTGAAGAATAAAGATTTGGAAAGTTTCTGTACAATCAAACCACTCTGAGTGACTTAAACATCTCAACCACTGAATTCTGTAGAAATGTGTGAAAAATCTGTGGACTTCCCCTTTCAATATCCACTGAGTTTGAACATTATATCACAGTTTAAGCTTTGATATTCTTAGTGTCAGATATTAATCATCTTCCTCAAAGCCCCATTCAGGAATTGCGGACAGTGCACTCTAGCTAGTTAATAGAAAGCATGGTAGACATACATATTGTGCGTTTTAGTGGTCGCAACCTTATAGCATCGTCACAGTACTAAAAAGTAGACAGCTAGCTGTAGCAATTAGTGACTGGGGTTTTAACATACGTTCTTTTTTTTGGAAAATGTCTGTAGTTTTCATAGTTATTTCATGTTTTAGTGTTTTTCTTGTGTTATGTCAGTCTTGGGTCAGCAGGAGTTCTTCATGCTGGTGCTCATCTTGGGCTTAGTTCTCCAAGCTGATAATGAAAGTAGGAACACATAAGTCTGAAATGCAGGCCATCGTCCTTTAGACAATCTGTGTTTGATTTATCTGCCTAGTGATCTCCCTAATTAGAATACACTATCAACAACCCAGTGTTATTGGCTCATAATAGACTCCTAATAAAATTTGTTGCATTTATTGACTAGATGTTCTTCAGAAGGTGTTTTCTTTCCCCTCTTTCTGTTGGGATTTGTATTTTGTATGTTTATTTTGTGTTTTTAACCTTTACCAGGTTATGTAGGGAGCACCCTTTAAAACCTATTTAAGCTCTAACAGCGACACCTAGTGGTGATACAGTGTTCTTTCCCACCTCTGTGCCCCCTCTGTGTACGCCTCTCACCACAGTTTATGAAAGTAATCCTGACAAGTGCATGAATGGCTGTTTTTCTGCCCCTCTGTTTCCAGAATTTGTGATTAACAGTAGATGTTTAATAGGCCTGCACAACAACAGTAGTTTAGGATGGAGAGTGATGTCCTCTCTCACAGTCTTCCCCGCCTCTCACTGGAAACTGTACACATTTACAACATGAAATGAGCTGATCTGATCCTGTGCAAATCCTCTTAGCAGACATATTAAAAGGTAACTAATGATAATGCCGGTTTTACCATGGAGGCCCCCACATTCACTAGATCATCTCCTTTTAAGCTCCAGCATCAGTATCAGTTAGTTACATGGTTTATAGGTTATATATGTTAGGTTTCACTACTTTCAGCCCAAACTCATGCAACAAAACGTGTCTTTAATAAAAACTGACGCTATTTTATGCTACTTGTTTTCAAATTCTGTCTAATTGGTTGCACTTTGCATCTCTCTTCCTCTGTATTTCCTGCCTAGGTTACACTGATACACTGATTAGGTTCATAAAATGAACAAAGTGAAATTATCAAGAAAGTCAGTAGTTGGCATGACTGAATGGCAATATTGTAATATTGACTGTACATTTTGTAAACTTTGTAAAAATGAAGAGAAAATGGAAAGAAATAATTACGAGATGTCTAAATACGATGTAAATTTAAATCTGCAATTATATGCTGCTAAGGTCTGTAAATTGCACTTCAGTTGTACCTTAAAAGTGAATGTTTATGTGAATAAAAACATAAAAACTAAAAAGTGTTTGTTCAGATTCAGTCAAACTATCCATCTTCTAAGCTGCTTATCCTTCTGAGTCGTGGAGGGTGCTGGGGCCTATCCCCAGCTTTCATCGTGCGGAAGGCAGGAAACACCCTGGGCAGGTTGCCAGTCCATGACAGCATTCAGTCAAACTAGAAGTTCATATGTAGAGTTACTCATATCTATTGAGAGAATGCAGTATATAGTGCTGTGGTAACTGGCAGTAATTTAACACCACTGTGGATACGAACGTTAACTGTGGAGCTCACACTAACCTTTATTTTTGATTTTTAAACATTCATTTTTTTTGAATATTTGAATTTCTTTTATGCCTTTATGCACCAATTCCACTCAAAAGTGCAGTAAAACTATTTATTTGGATGACTCCCTATAGATTATCTACAGATGTTCAAATTAATAACAAACTATCTAATGAAATTAAGATAATTATAAATGAAGGCTAGGATTAGGACTAAGGTTAGGGTTAAGATTGGGTTATGGGTTGAGTTTAGGATAAGGCTAGCATTAGTGCTAGGGTTAGGAATAGGACCAGCGTTAGTGCTAGGGTTGGGTGTTGGGTTAGGATTAGGACCAGTGTTAGTCCTAGATTTGGGTTAGGGTTAAGATTAGGACCAGCGTTAGTGCTAGGGTTAGGATTAGGACCAGCGTTAGTGCTAGGGTTGAGTGTTGGGTTAGGATTAGGACCAGTGTTAGTGCTAGGGTTGGGTTAGGATTAGGACCAGTATTAGACCTAGATTTGGGTGTTGGGTTAGGGTTAGGATTAGGACCAGCGTTAGTGCTAGGGTTGGGTGCTGGGTTGAGGTTAAGGGTAAGTGTAGTGTTAAGGAAATTAAAGGGAATGTAACAGATACTTGATACTTAATTGAGTGAAAGTTAAAGGCAATTCAAGTACAGCTGAATATATCAACAATTATTTCTGAAAACACGATTATTTAATTGGTTAAAATAAATAAATAAATAAATAAATAAATATATTTACTTTTCAGCAAGGATTTTAAATCTTAATATGGGAACTAAAGCAACAGCATTTGGCTCTGACTCTCTACTAAGTATTTCTAATGTTTTTTGGAGAACTAGTCATGGTTATGCTGATATTAAGGGTGTGACCATTTCAATATGTATCAAAAAAATCTAATTTGAAACAGCCTATCAAGTTTTGAAGGACCCACATCATACATTACTCTTATATTGTATTTCATTCCACTGTGATGCTTGTATGTACCGAAAACAGTCATAATTTTTAAGTGACCTTTATCCATCTTCATCCCACATACACTGTTTTGTTCCTATGCCTTTAAGATAGGTATGTTAATTATCTTTGTTCTGATTGGCTTCAGTGTGAACGGCTTTTCTGTGCCTATCAGAGTAAAGGTGATGGGGAGGGGGCGGGGCTTATGATGCACACACACACTCACACTCAAATGACTTAAAAAGGCTTAGAAATTTCGATAACACTTTACCGTAGGGCTCTGTTCATAAGGCTATATGACACCTACATAAGCTTGTCATGACAACTGACATCCCTACATAAGTGTTTATAAATGCTTATTCCAATAGGCGTAATTCGCTATAAAGGTTACATTTGCCAGTTTTGATCAAAGTTAGCTAAAGTAGTTTTTATGACAGATGGCGTCTCTTGGAATAAGCTTTCACAAACATTTGTGTAGGATTATGTCAGTTGTCATGATAAGCTTATACAGGTGTCATGTAGGCTTATGAACAGAACCCTACAGTAAAGTGTTACCGAAATTTCACTGGGTTGTGGTTTTTGGGGTTTGTTAGAGGGCAATGTGGCAGGTGTTGAAAAGTTCTACCTGATGACTTCATCTGCGCCAAACCAATCTGTGAAGTTTATAAAGAGTTCTACAGAAAAATACAATATGAACACAAAATTTTGAAAAAAATGAAGTGTTCTCAGAATCAAAAATCTGATCAAACCTGAAAATGTGTATCATTATGTTCACTTCTACTTAGTACAAAAAAAAAAACAAAAAACTCACCATCCTCACAAATGACAGTCACACAAGCGTCCGTGTTCTCACAAAGACATTTATTTACACTGTCTAGTCATGGTGTACAGGTCTCATTCAGAGTTCGGCGCTATCATTAGAGATTCTGTTAAAGAGGACACAACAGTCAACTATACATAATTCCACCATTATCACTGTGGTCTTCATACTGATTACAGCAACTATCCATTGACTGCATGTATGGGATCTCTTTTGTTTATGGACGTAGTTCAGCTGCTGGATCTAGCAAAATGACAACAAAATGACTCAAAGCCCACAGCAAGGGCATCTGTTTACCTGTACCAGATGCCAGGATGTACTTTTAGAAGCTAAACCCGATAGTCTGCTCCAGTATTTAATATTATAATGCTTAATCTATTCACTGCTGAAACTTCTTTTCCTAAAGATCAGATGTATATGAAACTGCAAGATCAATATGATACACCCAATTTTATTTATATGACCAACAGCTGATGCAGAAAGTCTGTTTTACGAGACATACAAAAGCTCTCGTGAAATGAATGTAAACCTCACATATACACCATATGACTCAAGAATTCGTAGGGCTATAAACAGGTCACCTCTGTTCACAAACTCCATCAACACATTCACATTTTATATTTTTCACTTAGGCAAAATCAAATTACACAGCGATTACAACAGCATTTTTTTCTGTGAATCAACAGTTCGGACAGACAGTGTTGATTTTTCATGCAGATGGATTGAAGCAATACTGTTCTTCAGCCAGAAAGAAGAGTGTGTCTCACAGCACGACCGCCGCCCGACCTTTTACAAAGACTGTTCAGAGTTTTATACTAGTCAGAAGCGAAGCGGAACTCTATACAAAACCAAAAATACCTAAAACGTGATTGTGAACAATCGAACAATCGAAATAGAAGTTATCTGTACATAGAACACACTGAAAATTGCACAAAATTAAACTATGAACTGAACTTATGAGAGGTCTGCTTTGAAAGAACATGTCGAAACCCAAAGCTAAAGCCCACCACAGCATTCGCTAGCCCAGCTTAAAGGGCAACTCCACTGAGTTTTCAAAATTTCTACATAATTCAGTGGTTCAGATGCAAACAATATTCAGAGTGGTTTCAGATTAGAGTTCACTGCAGAGAAACTTATCAGCTCAGATTTCTTTACAATGGTGGTGACAGGAACCATGGGTCACAATGTCTTCAACACAAATATAGCCATTTTATTTACTGTCCAAAACCACCAGTAAACCTATAAGTGTCTTAAGTTTTAATAGGTAATGTTGATGATGGTTAAATTAGTGTTAAGTCCAAAATAAATACATTGTGCCACAAAACACTGTGCATGTGCCTCTCTCTACCAGGAACGAATTTAAAGGGCCCATGTAATGGAAAATCAAAATTCCCTTGATTCTTTTAAATAATTCTCTCGTTTGATAGTGTGTAAACATTTTTAAAGCTTCAAAAGTTTCCAGTCCATTCAGTCTATATACCAAAACTGAACTACAAAAACTGCCAATTTCAAATTTGCTTCTATGATGTCATTAGAACCAGCACATTTACATATGCACGCCTATTTAGTCTACAACAGTTTCGGCCTGATCTGCTATCTGAACGAGAATGCAGAGTAGCCAATCACAACATAGTTCATTTACATACATCAGTTTTAAAGGCATAATAACAAAAACAGCCTGTTCAACTCTGAGAGATAAAGAGAGGTTGGAAAATGGTTATATTAAAAAAATGACTATTTTGGCACATAAATGTCATAAGCTGACTTAAAAAAAAATAATAAAATACAGAAAGAAAACAGGATATGGGCCCTGTTTTAGTCCAAAAACTGCATTTCAAAACTCAGAACTACCTAAAACATTGTCTCGGGCATCAGGCAACATATTTGTAAGTAATTTGCATAACCAACTTTCTGTGATGAAGCTTTAAAAAGCTCTAAACTTTTCAGAAGTCTGTTTCGTATCACCACCACTCTGAACAAGTCTGACTGGGTATGTTTCCTAGAAAGGATCGTTGCACTCTAAACCACTTTTTTTTCTTTACATCTTAATGATTTAATTAGGCAGAAATTTTGAAAAATAGGTGAAATTCCTATTTAAACCATGAAAACACATGAGAAAAAAGCATAAACATCCAAGAACCACTGAAGCGGGCATAAATCATCATGACCCTCCAGATGAAAAGACAGCATAGAGCCAGATATGAGTAATATGACAAATTTAACATACTGAAACTCCATTAACTCATCATCATCATCATCATCACATTGTGGGCTCCAGCAGCAAATATTTTGGCCAAGGCCAGAGGCCCAAACATGACACCATGCTGTAGGTCCATCAAATGGCTGTGAAAAACGATTTGCCAGCAATGAAGCACCAGCATGAATCACGCACAAGAAAGTGACTGTTTTGGAGCAGTCATACACCTATCACAAGTGCTCCACCGAAGAAAAAAACGACTGAGGATCCAGTTGCGCGTGTCTGTGTTTGTGTGCTTAGATGTGCTTTCCTAGCTCTGTGTAAGCGTGTACTTGTACATGAGGGTAAGGATGAGTGTGTGTGTGTGTGCCTGTTTTCACTTCTCCTGCAGCAGTGCAGGGATGTTGATGTTCCAGCCGATGGCCTGGCGGTCGAAGCCACAGGTGAACAGGTTACACGCCTGGTTCTCCTCGTTCCAGGCTGAGCAGCAGACCATGCGCCGATGCCCCTGGACACAAAGTACACAGTTACATAACACACAAAGAGAAACACTCAGCTTTTCACGTCTTCAGTCAAACTCACAGGTCTCCTCTATCAAAACTGTTCATCAAAATAACAACAAATCTAATAATTACTCACAGTACTTTAATTTGGATACTTCTGATAATTTACAAGCAAGTGCTTTTGTACTTTTACTCAAGTAGAACTATAGATAGAACACCTCTACTTTTACTAAAGTACTACTTTACTAAGAGTATTTACCAAGTGTGCTTTACCTTTAAACAAGGGTGGACAAGGTGCACTACTTCTGTACTACTTGAGTAAAGTTTGAGGACAAAATCAAATTTGCATAATTTTCCCCTTACAAATGTAGGCAATCAGCTATGACGTGTTTAGTGTCTCAAGTTTCCCTCTTTAATTTTGCACTGGAGCTACGAAGCCCATGTACTCCACAAATCAGCACTGTGCAAACTGCATGGCTAAATCATCACATACTCACTTCAAACCGTGTTGGGAAGTGATGTCAAATAGAATTGCTTGTGTGGTTTCTGACACTATATGACACACTGTTCTTTCATAAAAGTACACCCACGGCTTAGGCCTTAAAATGGATGCCATTACCAATAATGGGTAGGGCTGAAAGATTAATTATTTTTACATAAAAATCACAATTTAAAAAAGTGCAATTTTTTAAAAAGCCTATATTAAAAATAACTTTACTTTTATGTAAGGAAATTTAACCCCATGACACCCAGAACTGCCTGTAGATGAGTTAGACCAATCAAAAGTGACCAAACACCCATGTTGCTGTGTACATGACCACACAACCACAACTAAATGGTAGTCTCAACCTATATTCAGCATTCAAGCCTTGAGTCAGAAAATAATGGATATATACTGGTGTTCTTGGGCCCAAAAAACAGGCCTGATCTCAACTCAGAAAAAATAATCAGAATTGAAAAGACACAAATTTGCTCTGAATATTTGCAATAAGATGTTTTCTCCAAATATATTATGGGGCATTGCACTTTTGTCCATTCTTATATGTGCATAAGCGAGTCTATGAGGATACACGACACAGTTTGAGGCAAGTATGTGTGTTTTCTCTCTCTGTCTTGACTGTTTGGTGCACACCTGTCTGTTGCTGCGTGGGAGGCGGGCCAGTCGAACTCCTGTCATATCGAAAAGCCTCACTTGTCTGTTGTCATGCGGCAGAGCGATAATTCTTTGGTTCGCCGACACACTTATCCTATACATCAGAGAGGGAAAAGTGAAAACTGTTAAAACACACACACACACACACACACACACACACACACACACACAAACATTGTATGGTGAAAGGTATGTAAACATCCCTCCTAATTACTGGGTTCAGGTGCCACACAATCTCCACACACAAACACTGGCAGTAGAACGGGTCAAACTGAGGAGCTCTGCAATGAGTTGCATCACTCACAATAGAGTTTCAAACTGCCTCTGGAAGCAACATCATAAGAACTGTGGAGAGCTTCATTAAATGGGTTTCCAAGGCCAAGCAGTTGCACACAGGTCTAATATCAGTATGCGCAATGCCAAGTGATGGCTGGAGTCGTATAAAGCACGTCGTCACTGGACTCTGAAGCAGCGGAAATGTGTTCTCTGGAGTCACGAATCACGCTTCACTTTCTAGAAGTCTGATGGATGAAACTGGGTTTGGTGGATGACAGGAGAACGCTACCTACTGGAATGCATAGTGCTAGCAGTAAAGTTTGGTGGAGGAGGGATAATCGTCTTGGGGCTGTTTGTCAGGGTTTGGGCCCCTTGGTTCCAGTGAAAGGTAATGGTAATGCTACAACATACAAAGACATTTTAGACAATCATACGCTTCCAATTTTGTAGCAACAGTTTGGAGAAAAGCCCTTTCCTGTTCCAGCATGACTGTGGCCCTGTGCACCAGGCAGGGTCCATAAAGATACGCTCTGATGAGTTTGGTGTGGAGGAACTCTAGTGGCCTGCACAGAGCCCTGACCTTTACACCACCAAACACCTTTGAGATGAATTTAAACATCATTTGTGACCCAGTCCTTCTCGTCCAACATCAGTGCCTCAAAAATGCTTTTTTGACTAAATGGGCACAAATTTCCACAGACACTTCAAAAACTTGTGGAAAGCCTTCCCAGAAGTGTGGAGGCTATAATGTCCGCAAAGTGAGGCAAATCCATATTAATGCCCATGGCTCTGGAATGGGACATCGAACAAGCTCAAATAGGTGCGACGGTCAGCAGTCCACATATGTTTGACCATATAGTGTATATAAATTAATTTTAGCTCTAATTAGCTCCAATTAGTTCCATCAATCTGCTCAATCTGACAAAAAGTCTATATAATGAAAAATTCTATATAAGAAATGTTTTTTTTGTTTTTTTTTGTCAGGGGCTTATCATGAACCTTAAAAAGTAAAACAATGTCTCAGGCATCAGGCAGCATATTTATAACCATTTCATGTTATAACCGTCTGTGATTTTAAAGGCATTAAACTCTTCATCTGTCTGGTTCCTATCACCACCACTGTAAACAGTGTTTCACATCAAACCACTGTGAATAACTTTACATCTTAATGAGTTAATTATGCAGAAATTTTGAAAAAGCAGTGGGCTTCCCATTAAACCCCCTTTCCCAGCATGCAACAACACCCCCCGTAACGAGTGTGAAGGTCTACATGTGTTCTTCTGGGATGTGTACAGCCTGCAGAACTGTTATGGTGCTCTGCTTGCCATGGGTAAGTGGAGAAACCCTGGTGTCCGTCCCACCTAATGTGAGGGAAGCTCAGTTTTATTTTGGGGACACGCGGACAACGGCAGCGTATGGACACTGTTGGGATTAGAACTCCCATCACAGCAGCAGAGCAAAGCACACAGCAAAAGCACTTGGGGGACTCCACTTAACAATTAAACCACAGCTGAAGATTTATTACCAGCAAATGAAGGAGAATCAATCACTCTTTTGGAAATAAAAGATTTAAAGAACTGTATTCTGCATTGTTCTGTTATTTTATTTTGTGCCCCTTAAGCCTGCTTATAATGGCTTTAAGGCTTTATGTACAGTTAAAACAGCCTGTATCAACTATAATTAAACAGGCTGTTTTGGTCCCTGTAATGGTTCAGTTAAAAATCCAATTCAGTTTTCCCCCATACCCAAAACGTAGTCGACAGCCAAGATACATTTGGTGTTTGAAGTTTGGTTTTATAGGTTTGCACTGGTGCTAATAAAAGTCTCGGCTACCGAAAAAGATGTTTGGTTACATATACTTCCATTACTTGTTGGCTACATTAGCCTTGTAGCTCCATTGCAAAACTAAAGAACCTAACTTCAAACACCAATGTGATTGACTATGTTTGGGAGGGTTGAGTAGATTTTTCATTAAACCATTCCTTTAAGCCTGAAACACGTAAATGACCTCCACTGTAAACTTCAGTCACTCCTTTCGGATGTCTAGGTACTTCTGAATGCTGCAATGGTTCATCTGCTTCCTGACTGCCAGGAACAGCACAACGTTTAAAAGTTTGCCACTCCAATTAACTCTGCTATTCCGATGATGTCATGTAGTCAAAGCGCAGTGGTGGTTTGTTATGAGATAAAGTCATAACCGAATTAGTAAAGGTGGTAAAATGTTCTTTTTTTTTAGATACTCAGTTAAAAATTCATTTTAAAGCGTATTAACCAATACATTTGGGTGTATTGCTTTGATTTTATTAGATTCGTTGCTGTAGCAATGAATGAAAGCTGAAATCTAAATGGCTGAGATTTCTGCTGTGTCCCAAACCTCATACTAGCACACTAAATAGTATATAAAAAACAGTGCGGTACCATTACAAGTGCACTCATTAGTGTAGTTGGTAAAATACAGAAGTATGTGATTTGGGATGCAGCATTAGATCGGTCAACAATCCAGCTCCAGTGGCTGATTATATCTTTGCTGTGCTGCTCGTTTGCTCCTCACTTAAATTTCCAAGTTTAAGGTATTTCCTGACAGGGTGCTTTTATTGAGGCAAAATGGATGTCTAAACATTTTTCTATGGCATGATGTTGGCTTCTTATTCAGCAGCTTCTTTTTCAAAATTCGTTCTATGTATCAGGCACCTATACGTAACTGCAGCACCATTTAAGGAGGAAAAGAAATTTTTAATAAGAAGCTGGCGAATAAGACGCCAACTCCAGCTTAATTGTGTTTATTATTATAGAGCCCTGGCAGTTTTGGAAGCCACTTTAATTAGTGTTTGTAAAATTTCACACACTGGAATTTTCTGAACTTATGAGGTGCACAGGTTGTACGGATCTTCGTGTAGCATTTTCTGAAGACTGCATCTAAAGTATCCACATATCTCTCTATCCTTTTCGTGGTCATTCTGATCTATTTTGTTTGGATGAGGCATGCAATAGCAGAGCATAGTCAGAATTACAGCTTGCCAGCCAAAATGCCGGAGGGGCGTTCTTAATGACCCAATCGAAAACCACGAATAGGCTGTCTGCAACAACAACAACACTCAAACTGATGTGAATAAGTGGCGAAACTGAAGGCATACGTAAATATATTCATGATTGTGACATCACAACAATGATGAACGAACCTTTAAACACTGTTTCCACTGTACATCAAACTTTCATTAAAGAAAAAAAGCTAAAAAAATGTGGTTTCCCATGATTTTGCCCCAACAGTAAGAGAGCTGGAAGTTTTAAGAACAGTCCCCTGGCTCTTTCTAACACTTCATCGATCGGCACCTCTTACCTATTAACAGCCGAGTCGGTGCGGATGGTGGCTATCGGCGACCTCATGTTCTTTCAGGTCCCACACCTTGACGGTGCGATCGTCGCTGCCTGACACCACGTTATCTCCCACCGTGAAGACGGCTGACGTCACCGTGCTGCAACAAAAACAAGTGCTTGGTCAGTGACAGCTGTGTAAAAGTCTACAATCCCTTCCCATTTTCAACACCTCCCAGGCTTCCCAGAGTGGGAAACCACACCACCAGTAGCAATCACAAAACGCCACAATTATCCTGAGCCACGTTCTCTGAGTAAGAGCATATGGCACGTATCTGTGGGAGCTCCCTGTATCCACAGGAAGACAGGTCACATCTACAGACTGATTTAGATCATCACACCAAGTGCTTGTTTTTACTTGAGCCTGGAAGAGGGAAAAAAATGCTTGTTTCCAAGGCAACTTGACTGATTTTTGTGTCACTTTGGATGCGCTGGGATGTTTGGGAGATGACACGGCTCTTCCTGTCGTGAAAAGTGGGGGCGGTGACCTGTGATCCAGCACAGTGCCTCCCTGGAGGCAAGAGGAGAATCCAGATTAGGTGTTGGCACCTTGAAGACGACTGTCTCCAAATGCCACCCCATTCTTGCGATGTGCGCAGGTACTCAAGCACTTCGAGGTGCCAGCATTCAAATACTGAAATTAATATTCAGGTATTTGTTATGAATCATTATGGGAGATTGGAGAAAAGACACTGGCTAACAATTCAGTGAAACACTGACTTTCTGATTAATTACTCATAAATACGTATCTCAGCTCAGGACTAGCTTTCTCTCTAACCTACCTGTAACAAGCAAAGATACTTTCTCTAGGTAGACAAAGCACACTCTGGATAAGACTGTCTGCTAAATGCTGTAAATGCAAATGTACATATCTTTTCATGACTTATCCAGTCCCAAAAAACCCAGGATGAAAGTACTCCAGTACTGAATCTCCAGAGGAAAATGATAAGCACCTAAATTAAAGTGTAATATGTTGATTTTAAAGTAATTACAGTATGTGCTATCAACAGAAAGGCTGTTGCACAACGAACACAACACAAAGAAGCGAGACGAAAATGTGAAACATTTGGGTGTGATATTTCACACGAAAAGCATACACATCCGACGCGACGCAATTTTTTGGAAATTTCCCCAAGTTGAACTTTGTCAGTTCATTCAGAACATTCAAAAGCTGAAATATGCCAGTTACTGGAACACAGTCAGTTAGTCATCTTGGGTGTCCTCATGCCAACAGCAGAGGCGACCGTGACTGGTCAGTGAGTTTTTGTCGCTGGCGAAGGGTCAATAAAATATTATCACATCTTCACAGTCTGAAAATCGCTTTTGGTGTGCAAGGTATCTTCGGTTATACTTGTGCTCAAATGAATTTATTGTCTGGGGGGAAAAAAAAAACATTCTGTGTGTAAAATCCCGTAAGTTACATCATAAGCTAAGGTTACAGCTGACAACAATTACCATCCTGCTAGAAGATAACATTTAACGTTGTGTACTAACATGCCTGAATATATTTTATGCAATAAAAAAAGATCACAGAAACTCATGATTATATTTTCCATGACTTTCAAGTACTAAGTTTTTTTTTGTTTTGATTATTTTTCCAAGAATAATTCAGTCATAGATTTTGGCACATTTATTTTCTTTGACTGTCCAGGTTTTCCAGGATCCGTACGAACCCTGGTTTGGGACAAGATGGCAGTTTACTGTATACTGAATACTGCACCAGTACATACTGTATACTGAATACTGCACCAACACACACTGTATACAATGTATACTGCATACTTCAACAGTACATAATGTATACTGCACCAGTGCGTACTGTATATTATACCAGCATATACTGTATACCGCATACTGCACCAGTATATAACTTATACTGCATCAGTACATACTGCATCAGTGTATACTGCATATTGCACGCTGCACCAGTATCTAATGTATACTGCATACTGCACCAGTCTATACTGTACACTGCATGCTACTCCGATTATGAGTATGCAGTATCCAGCATGCCACAACTAGCGTCAAGTACCATGTACAGTTATATACAAAAGTTCGTGAGCCCCTGGTCAAATTACATGTTCTGTTGTAAACAGTAAGTTAACAACACATCCTCTACAGAGAACAGACCTCTGCACATTTCAATGAACAGTTACTGCTGAATTTAACATATTGAAAAAAAAATAAAACAATGTAACTTGTGCAAAAATTTTCTTATTTTTCTAAATAATTAACAAAAATAGAAATTGTGCACTGAAATGTGTTATTGCTTATGCTTATTTTCACTTACAAAATAAACAAACCATATAACTTAACTAGTCTTCTAACTTTATGACCGTACCTTACTGCAGGGCAGGGGTGATTCTCAGGATCTGCTTCATTTTCTTCACCCTCAAATATCCCTTTAGCAACTGTTGCTAGCGTGTTTCCACACTGCATATATTAATGTAATAAAACAATTTACTACACTACTAAGACTGGGGGGGTCATCCCTCCACGTCAGGGATGTTCAGCTCCAGTGAAGCAGAGTTTGGTACCTGCCCTCTTCAGAATACACCTACTAAACCTGGCTATTAACAGAGGAGTTGAATCAGGTGAGTAGTGAGTAGGGAAATCACAACTGTGCTGGACACCAGAGTTGAAAATCCCTGCTATAGACAGTGCACAGCTCCTGAACGGGTCAGGCACACTAATTTAATGGACCTAATATTTCTCATCTACAGTGTCACTCCTCACCACCATTCTGCCTCCTCTCATATCCCCCCTCCCCTCTGGAGGAGTTGTGAGTTGCTGGAATTACAAAAACGGGGCTGGGAGAAAAAAAAAAAGAAAGGATTCGATTTGGTCCTCCGTTCTGCCTGCTGATTAAGATTAGCACAGTCCGTGCTAGCCGGCCTACTAGCCGCTTGCCCTGCTAATTTGAATTGACATGATATTAAGGTTTAATTAGGGCTAAATTCTGCTGCATTAAGGGATCCGGGCCGGGCTCGGCTGGTGCTAATGGTGGTGCCCGGCTCGCTGTAGCATGGTTCACATCGAAAGCAGAGCGTGGAAACACTTTCTGACATTGCGGCTCGCCATGGGAGAGCAGGGGCGGAGGGGCTGGGCAGGAGGAGGGGTAATAGATTAAAAGCTTGATTAAAATCCTATTAGAACTCAGACGATATTTTGGAAATGTTCCGTCTCCCCCGGGGGACACTGACAAGCAAGGTCGAGACTCATTAGGGGAAGGGGAACGTGCAAGAGTGTGAGGTTGGGGGAGGGGGTCACAGCAGTAATAAAGAGATACAATGCACACGGACTGTGTGACGGCACCAACTGAGACTGGCATCGCCAGTTCAGACTGCTCAGTATACACGTATATACATAACACTTTCCAGTAAACTTAAGCAAGCAAGCCAAAAAGTAGTTTCCCTCTCCTGGGTTACAAAAATGTCTGCATATTAGTGGGGTTGGGTGATACGAAATTTACAGTAGTGTGCAGAAACTCGAGACCCTTTATTTATTGAATTTACTGTCAAACCAGCCATTAAGTACAAGTTCTTCATTTTCCAAGAGACATTTCTGAGGTGATTAGATACATGATAATCCACATCAATAAGGAAAGTCAAAGGAAATTAAAATGAGTTTCAAATGTGGTGTTCAAAAACCTTACTAAAAGATACAGAGAATGGGACTGGACAATTGGACAAGACCTAGTAGACCACCAACACTGTCCACATCAGACAAACAGCACTTAAAGCTTTCATCTTTGAGAGAGAGGAGAAAATCAAGCTCCACTTCAGATCTGAAAAAATTCACAGGAATTTCTGTCCACCCTTCCACTGTGTGAAGACAACACAACACTATGGGTCTAAACGGATGTGTAGCTGTCAAAGACATTAATAAGGAAAGGAACCACAAGAAGAGGACAATTTACAATACAAAAAAGCTGCAAATGGACTGTCCACCCCTGAGCTTTGACTTCGTCATCAAATGTTTCTAGGATTACTTGGATTGTGAGCAGCAGAAAAAGAAACCGACTTCTAAGACTGAACTTTGGAGGTGTGGAAAAATATCCCTGCAGATTTCTTTGAAAAACTGAAAGTGGGTCTCCAGAAAAGAAGCAGTAATAAAGGCAATAATAAATTAAAAGTAATAAAAGTAATAAAGTAATAAAGGGTGGTCATATTTACTACTACAACATTGTACATAGAGTTGCATTCTGTGTAATATTTCTGTTGAATTTTTGTTTTTGGCATTGCAAAAAGGAACAACTTGTGCTTAATGGCAGCTTTAACTTAAATTAAATAAATGAAAGTCTCTCTGACTTTTGCACAGTACTGCATATCATATTTCCCACTATCCATCCAAGAACCTTTGTTTAATCAGCCTTCCTGGCAGTGTTTACCCCAAGGACTGAGAGTTCTGTATAACTGCAGAGTATAATGTAGTTATGGGTGTCATTCATCCAGTGAAAGGTGGTGACTGTGTGTCTTCCTCACTCATGACTCGAGTTTTTGGTTATCCCAGGTTTAATGTTTTTAGTCTCTCTGGTTAAAGACTGTTATCTCATGGCTGATGTACCTCATAAAGGGTGGATCAGGCTAATATTGTGTGGGCTATTTATTATTTTATTTTTTACAGTTTTTCATATTTTAGTTCTATTTTAATGTTCTATATTTTCATTTATTAACTATTTTTATTTTGCTTTTTATTAACGTAAAATATTATATTGTTATATTATTGACGTAAATTTGAATTGCCTTTGTGTTTAAAATGTCCTATATAAACAAAACTTGCTTTGTAGTATTACAGTATAATACTACACCAAAGTATTACCATCATTATAACTATTATTATTTTAAAAAATTAAACAAGAGGACAAAATGTATCTTCTTCACCTTTTAAAACCAAACTTAGGGCGTGAGACAGTTTGCACCTGAAAAGCTTCCTGTTCCTCATTGTGTGAAGGCTCACTGTCACACACACTAACACTGCAGCTTTCAAGTGCTGAAAGGTACCTGAAAAGCTCTGAAGCCAAATTAATTCCAAGTGAGCGTTTTTTGAAACGAGTACTTCGTCTCTTTACATCCTCGAACTTCCTGATTCTGTTTTTCAT